GCGCGCACTGTCCAAACCGGGAGAAAGCGACAACTTCATTTCTGGTCGTTTTTCCCATTAAATTTTTTTATTAGCATATGACGTATATTGATCGTAAATAAATAAAAGTTAGAGGAGCATGAAATTATGATTTCAAAGATACAGTTAATTATTTCATTTTATTTCATCATCAAATCGTTTTGAAGATTGCTAGATGGTGTAGAGAGCCTTTCCAGAATGCATATAGTATAACAGCCCCTCAAATTGTCAGGAGAAGGAAATAAAATCAGGAATAGAACATATTTATCAGGTGAAATGTTGTATTACAGGATTCCTTTCAAACATTTCATAAACCGCTAATTACTTAGAAAAATGTCAGGAAAACGAATAGAGGTGGTGGCGGCAGCGGTAACAGTAGTAGTGGCTGGAATAGTGTTTGTGTATTGTCCACGTTTTTTTTTACATAAAGCACAGCAAAATTCTTTTGGCTACATCATTTTACAATATGATTGTTATTGGCATTATTATATGTTATTTAGAAAGCGTCTTAAGAAAAATTGAAATTAGAATTGAAATCCTGGGTGTACTTGGGGTGCAGACTGTGTACTTCTCCCGTTAGAGGCGCCCGGACCTTGATAAGCAGGAACTGCGCAGGTGCTTTGATTTTCTGACTTTTCTGTTTTTTAGAAAAAGTCACCTTGCAAAAAATATGTATTGTGTTTGAAATATTTTTTTGAAATATATATTGTGTTTGAATTATAGATAAATTTGGGTTTGAAATATAAATTTTTGCTATGTGGTTTTCAAAGCAAGGAATTGATTTTTATCACTCAATACACAACAGATATTTGGTACATTAGAAGATTGGAAAACATACCTCCTGATGACTTAACCCGTCACACATGAACACTACTTTCACATAAGCTCTATTACCAAGAGTTATCTCGTCGACAAGAAGATCAAGAACTGTAGATCATTGTGAACTCCAGTTTTTCTCTACATTAATCTAGTTTACGAGGTGCAATAAATGGTCGCCACAGAATTCCTGAGTAGCATATTCCATTGCTTCGCTCATATATTGTAATGTCAGCCGTTATGAGTACTTTGCAATCAGAGGTTACTGTGACGTCTATCAGTCACTGTCAGTCGCGATAAATAAAAGCAGAGATTTTCTTTTAGTCTAAACCAAAAGTCTGCAAGATGAATTCACATGAACAAAAGAAAGAAGCCTCGATTACATCAATAATATTACTCAAGAGTTTGAGTTATTCATCTGAAGTGTTTATCAAATTTTTTACATACTTTTTCTTTGTTTTTAGGGCATTTTTAAAGCCTTGTGAGTTATTGATCATTTTCGGCAATGTTTTAAGTCATCAAAATCCGCCACTAGTTATAAGTATTGTCTAACCAGTATTGATCGCTTTACTCTCTGGTCCGAAATTATTCCTTTACACGACCTTTTGAACAACGTCGCCATCCCATTTCTATCATCAAAGATTGAACCTTTTGGAGTCTCCGAAACAATCACTACAAATCAAGGCGAACGATTTGTATCTTCATATTTTAGTTGTCTCTGACGGCTACTGGGAATTATTCACCACCGTACCACGTCTTATTACCCACAAAGTAATGGCGTAATTGAAAGACTGCACCGTTTTCTCACAAACGTTTTAAGATATGAATTTTTAAACCTAGCCCTATCAAATCCCTATTATTCTTTTGAAATTTTGTTGCGTGTTCAGACCAGACCCCAAGGCTTCTGTGGAGTTCTATATGGCCAGTACCTACGACTGCCTACTGATATCTTGGATGTCACTCCTTTGTGAACTACCACATCAGAAGCGCAGGACTCAATAAGTCTTCGTTCAAAAATGCAAGATATGGTCCCTGCTTCTGGAACTCATCGAATCGCAAATAAAGTATTCTATTTTTTTTATAAAATTAGGAATATGTACTCATGTTTCTTCGTAACGTATATTTTTTCGTAATGAAGACTAGGGGAAATTCTTTCCTCTGGCGTACACAGGACCACACCAGATCCTGCAACGCACCGAAAAGGTTCTCCGCCTTCTTATTAATAATTCTCCACAAGTTGTATCAAAATATCTTCTTATATCACCAGATAGTTTTGAACCGAACTACACTGAAAATTCCTCCTTACCTCAAAACCCTCTGCACGTCTTTCGTGAAACCTCCATTGCTACCGACAACTTCAACTTCAACGGAGGGTTCCGTACCTGCTTCGGCCACGCAACTCGTATTATTGTGACGTAAACACCTAAGCCAAAACTCCATTGATAATACAAATAGTGAAAAGGAGAGAGAGTTGTTCTTCTTGATAGCAACTGAATTAATGTGTTGCGAAGAAGGCAATTTACGCATGCGTTCTTTGCAACACATTCATTCGTTTTTAGATTATAATAATTCATGTTTGGGAATAATATTATGATTCGTATTTGATGTATAACATTTCAAAATGTTTAATCATTCGGTTTTAGACAGCCCATTCTGTAAATTGAGTTACTGTAAGGTACACATAAAACATATATGCTACTAATAATTGTTTTCATTACAAGAAAGTAATTATGCGTATTACGTGTTAAATAAATTGATGTATGTATAGCGACATAGTAAAAATGAATATTAATAATTTTCCATGCGCGCAGAAATGGAAAGAAAAGTACCCAGACTCCGGCCTTTCGGAGGTTTCTACGGTTTTGTCAGGTACACAGGAAGTTGGAAAAAATACAAAAACATCTACATTAGTAATTTCCAATGGGCAGAAAAATGGAATGAAAACTATGTAGTCTCCCTTATTTTTTTAAAGTGGTCCCGTTAGATACCATGGAAGACTAAAACAATACAATAACAATGAAACAGTTCCCGATTTGAATAAAAAACGCTGATTTTGACTGTTATTCTGCATATTCTCGCACTGTGTGCATCGACTGACCTCTCATTCTGAGTACTTCACTTCTTACGACACAACTGACGTCATGCGACAAGGCACTAAGGAAAAGATCGTTCGCCTTTTAAACATTTATTCATCACGTGTGTCGTAATGGTGGGGCATTGTTTTACTCGTGAAAACTGTTTTTGTTGGAATATTCAATTTACTTCAGAGTCGCACGATAGTATTTTATTTTTTGTTCTTCGTCGGTGCGCATGTTACATCTGGAGAAAACATATTCTGTGCTTTTAATTTCTTCAGTAGCATTTTTACTAAGCACCAAACCATCCTCGCGTCGGTTTCCGCGTCGGCCGAATCGGTGACATTTCGTGGGCGTGCTCGCGCAGGCGGCGAGTGCCAGCCCCCGGGCGGGAGGTGAA